GTCGCCCGCGTGGCGCAGAGGTTAGAGCGTTCGCTCTAGAGTCGCGGAGTAAGGAGTTGATCCTTACGTCGCAGGTTCGAATCCCACTGTGGGACGTGGAGACCAGTCCTTCGGATGAGACCGTATAAACCGAGGTCCCGTGTCGCAGTAGGTGCTGGCACGAAAAAGATCCCTCACTGCTCAGTGACCCCGAGTGCCGAGTATAGGTCAAATTTGTAGCCCTCCACCGGGAAGTGGTGCGTCCCCATATGAGTGAAAAATTCTCGAGAGGGACGTTAAACAACAAACAAACAAAACTTTTTTTACAGAGCCAGTGGGACGATTTCAACCAAACTTGGCACAATATCCTTAGTTGAAGGGAATTAATGAAGGACCAATTCCTTCTCAGAGTGTAAATACTCAAGAAAAGGCAAAAATAGGGTTGCTCATGTATGAGGGCTATTCATTAAATAATGACACTAAATGTACTCCTTCTAAATTTTACACTTGATTGAATTGGAACATCTCTTACAATGTTTATTTTCTTCCATACCATTGATTTGAAAAGTAGTCACAACCTATTTATAAAGCAATTTTCAAAGAAAGCATCTTTTTTGGGCCCGCCCTAAGGACACCGTTAACATGAAGACAGAAGGAAAGTCCCGAAAGGACATTTTGAACATCAGGTTGTATATCAAATATCGTTTCTAATGAATATAACGGGAGAAGAAATTTTCAAAGAACTCGTGACATTATATGGAAACAGTTTTCGATGGATAAAAAATTCAAACTTGGTAGGGATTCAGCTGCAAATATCAAACAGTAAGGAAATTCTAGATCAGTTATCAATGAGAAATCAGTTGCAGCAGTAAAAACATTATCGACAGAGACGGGAGAGTGACCGTGAACCAGATTGTCAAAGAAGCTGAACATTTCATCGGGTAGCATTTAAAAAAAATTAAAAAAAACGTTTAGGAGTCAGGAAAGTATCTGGGAGGTAGATCCCACACATTTTGAATGATGAGTAAAAAACAAAACAAAAAAGGATTGCAAACTTCTCGAAAACTATTGAAAGTTTATGGAAAATGTGATAAAAGACGTCTACATGAAATTGTTACGGGGAATGAAACTTGGCTACATTTTTATGAACCTGGGAGAAAACTGGGAAACAAAATATAGCTCACTAAACAAAGTAAACGACCAAACAGTAAGACAGCAAGGAAGGTTATGTATGCAATCTTTTTTGAAACGAGTAGTCGCTCAAATTCCAATTAAAAAGGGCAGAAGTGTTAATTACTTAAGTTGTTTACGTGAAAAAGATATTGTTTGAGGTACAAAAGCATATAATAAAAACAGAATACCAAAGACAGGAATGAGGGGGATCAAGTTTTTACATGGTAATGCCCCAGCACACACTGCAAAGTACACACTGTGACACAAGATTTCCTATATGAAAATGTAATACAGCAACTGAATCACCCCCCCCCCCCCTTTACTCACCGGATTTATGCCCATGTGACTTTTTCTTATTCCCTAAATTGAAAAAAATGCAATCTGGACAACGTTTCTATTCCCGTTCTGCATTAGGTTCAGCGGTGTACCAGTGTCTAAAGAGTATAGAGGCGCGATCCTAAGCTAGATAAACGGATTCTAAGATGTGTTGAAGTAAAGGGTGATTATTTTGAAGGGATGTAAATAAAATAGAAAAGAATACTATGTTATTAGTCCCCTACCGGTGAAACCGTCTGTCTGTCTGTCCGTCTAGCTGTCCCTCTGCCTGTCTGTCAGTCTGTACTACTTGGTTTTCCGCACTTTTTTTCTAAACGCTTGCAGATATTGAATTGCTTTTTGGTATGTGAGTGTATAGTGATGAGGTACAGATCAAGTTTGCATTTCGTTCCGCTTCAATGATTTTTGACGGAATTACGACATGTTCAAATTTTCAGGGTTTTCCGCAATTTTTTTTTTAAATGCTTGCAGATATTGAGCTGATTTTTGGTATGTGACTTAACCTTGATGAGATATAGATCAAGTTTGCATTTCGCTCCGCTTCATTGATATTTGACAGAATTATGGCATTTTCAATTTTAAATGGGAACCAGATTACACTTGCCGGTAGGGGACTAGTATTGCTAATGCAATACTCTCAGAATGCTTGTTATTGTATTAAAAAGTCTCGCTATTTAATGAATATCCCTTATATAATCTTCTCAAGAACCAGTGGTCAGAAAAAATGAAACTCTTAGGCACCTGATTCCACCTCCAGTATAGCCGGGGAGGGGAAGGTCCATATTTTATGCCCTTTTCACGGACTTGTATTGTTCAAAGATTTTTTTTTGAGATCGATCACTGTTCGTTATCTTCACCTATTTCATTCAGTGAAATTTTTACCGACATACATTCTGTAGATTTAAGTTTGTTCAAATCATGATAATAAGGGTTCAACGTTTTACAGAGGAATATTTAGTGATATCTTTTTAATTATCTTAATAACAGCAGGACCACTAATCCAACCTTCCTCAGGTCGTGCATATTTAAGGTTGTTGAAAATATGGCACGGGGCTAGGGATGGACCACAATAAGGATTAAATTTTACGAGGGGATATATATGAACAAAAATCATTTAGAATTTCATTTTCAAGAGCAGCATGGTCATGACTGATGGAATCTTAAGACCACTGGGCAGAAAATATGAAACTTTTTTCCAGAAATAATACTGATTCAGTTAAAGGTACTAAACCCGGATAATTTAGACAAGTTCGTGAGTTTTAGAAATATCAAATTCTTGTGTTACATATATCTATACTTTTGCATTGGAGGAAACATCAGATCTAGAAGACTATACATATAAAGGTTGATTATAATCAGTGCGTGTGTGACAAACTATGCCCTGACCCTAATCCAGGGTAATTTGGATAAAGTCATGGCATTTAGAAAAAATAATTTTTTGTCTTGGGATAATTTTGAAGTAGAAAGAAACATCGGAAGATTACTTTAAACATGAAGGTTCCTTGTGATCAGAGGGTATGTAACAACCCTGTACTGTTCTCATTTTGACAGGGTTCGTCTCGCTGGGTGTAGTGTAATTCTTGTCCATAATATATATTTTTGAAATGAAATAACTCTAGAAGATAGCACTTTCCCTCGATTATGATCCTAGGGTACTTCGTGATTATGAAAAAAGGTCTTTTAGACAATTTGATTGTACAAACAAAAGGTTTGTCTTGGTTTAAGGATGACTTTTACTCAGATGACAAGAAATTCCACTGATAAGAATGAAAAAACCACCTATTGTACATTGTACACCTATGATTCTTGTGTTTATTATTCACTTTCAAATAACTACCCCCCCCCCCCCCGGTAGGTCAGTGACCTACTTTTCATGCTAGTGGCCCCTTACTTATTTCTCGGAAAATAGCTCAATTTTTCACACTACGACCAATAATTCTTTATTTCACAAAATATTACAAATAACAAAACTCTTTAGGTAACAAAATATAATAGGATCGGCACAGTTTTACTACATTAAAATAATAAATAAGAGTTTGAGCAATAAACTTTTTAATTTTTCCACTCCGATTTTCCTCTGTCAATTTTCTATTTTTTACCAATTTTAAATTTAATATTACAAAAATCTGAAGGATAACAACTCTGATTTATATATAACCTAAGTTTACTTTCGTTGCCATTATTCTGCTGGTATTAAAATTATATGAGTCAACGGTCAAATTATTGAGATATGCTGTCTGGAATGGTTTTCGTTCATATTTTTGAAAGTCTTCATTCCATGTCATTCTATTATTTGAAAAAATACATGAGCTTTAATACACATAATATTTGCAAAATGATGTTTAAAAACACATAGAATCTTGACTTTGTGAATGATGATTGCAAGAAAAAGAAAAAAGTTTTGTGACAAAAAAATGAAAAATTTTAAATTTAGTCCGAATTTCCTCTGCACCACCATATATTTACATTTGTCTTCGCATATTTTCTTCAAATAATAAAATATTAAATTTTCAAATTGATATTGATTTATAACTTGGTTATTTTGTGCATTTAGGACAATTTTGACGTATGGACTTCATAACTTTTCCTTTCTGGAAACGTCATCCTTAAGGTTATTTGAGTCTTGTTAAAAGACACATTGCTCAAAAGGCAAATATTCTTGTGTCGTTTTTATCTTAATGCTTGGGCATATTTTTCGTACTCAAGGAAAAAGATTGCTCATGACTATTGGTGTTAAACTTTCAAAAAGTACATTTCAACAAGATTTTGGCCATTAAAATTTGCAGCATAACTTTTTAGCAAGATTGCAGCTTTCTCCTTCAGCTATCTTACAGAATGTCCTTTCTTTGCAAGCCCTGCGGGAACCTTATGAATCCTTGACTACAGTTATAGATTTGCATTTATCTTTAAATGGAGTCAGAGGAAACATGTGACATTTTTGTATACCTAATTTAACAGACATGTTGGAACGCAAATAAAGAATTATTAAATGCTTTTTAAATCATTTTTTTTTCTCTCGATACATTGTATTACAAAATAAAGAGGTCGGATTTTTATCTTTTATGTATTTATATCCTCTATTTTAGATCAACGTTATGGATGTAGTTTCTAGCATGCCAGAAAGTTTCAGAAGTTTCTTGACGGGCAATATCCTCACAATAATGATGATCTCTGTCAATACCAAAGAAGACATGCAGAGATGCATAAATAGTGTCATTTCGTTAGAGCCAGGGATATTCAGCCCAGAAGAATGTAAAGGAAGTAGGATTTTTCACCAGAGAGATGAAATGTTTCTGGATATGGCTTCGAGGAAAATCGAACGTTGTATGTTCGACCAGTTACAAATGATTTCAACACTTGATGACCTGCTTGTGCTTTTGGTTCCAGATCAGAATGACACGGAACAAGGCCTCCAAGCTGTGCTGAAAAATGCTAATAAACTTATCACTATAGAGATGGATTTAAACAAATCAGAATTTGATAGTAAAGCGCAAAATGTTCCCAATAGATTAGGTTGGCCAAAGGAGAATATGGAATACATCCAAGCATTCAATTGGCAAGTCATTGAAAAGCTAGGGAATGAAATATTACGTTTTGTGTTTGGGCGTCGGTTTAATAGAAAAGAGTTGGGAAATGTACTCTTGGATCCAAATGCAAAATGCAAATCTGAAGCAATTAAAGCTCATTTATACAGCTACTTTGAGAGCTATATTTTTGGAATGCTATGGGGAATTGCTGGAAACCAGAGATCGCGACTTTTGAATGGGAATATCAACTCGACAATATGGCGGGAGAATAATAAAAGAGCTGTCATCAACGACGTCAGAAGAGGTTCTATTTCAGTTGAAATTCTTAATGAAATTAGAAGATTAGCATCATTTATAGATGTTCTGCACAAATGGAAATTAGAAATAGAAAATATTATGAAAACGAATCCATTGAAAGATGAAATTCCTTTCGAAGCACAAATAAGTCTTTCAAGGTAAGTGCACTTTCTACCATAGACTGTCGATCTAAAGTGACTTATGTCGACTGGGCTAACGAACTTTCTGGCCCTGACTTAATTGACCCTATTTTTGTTCTTCTTTTTTGGTGGAAAAGGGAATTGATGTCACAACTTACTGAATAAACCTACTCTAAACGTATTCTATTATTCTAACTACTTTCACAATATACATACAATACCGTATATACTCGCCTATAAGTCGGTTTTTTGGGAGTTAAACTTTGGTACAAAAACCCTTGCCCGACTTATAGGCGAGTTATAAAAAATATTGGTATCATAGCAGATCAATCCATTTAATGTAAGCTTAAAAAATACAACCGACTTTTAGGCGGACCGACTTATAGGCGAGTATATACGGTACATCAAACAGTGATGTATACAGAATGTTTTTGGACTGCCCCCTCCCGTTCAAAGCGAAATCCTTGGTTTACTCCATATTTGATTTTTTATTGCATTTCCTTTCATGGTATGTGTACTTCTATCTATGTCGGCATGCATTTGTTTTAAATATATAATAATCTGAGCAAATAGATCTCCTTTCTAAATGAGCCTTCATGATGTCATTAAACAAATTAACTGAAAGAAAGAAAAATATTGGCATCTTATCACTGAAAAAATAACACCAAACATCATTATACATTTGTTTGTACACCTGAAATATACTCACTATTTCTCTCTTTTTCTTTTATAAAGAATTCCTGGTGTCAAGGCATTTGGAATTTCAAACAAAACCTTTACAGTCTCCATTGATGAAGAGAAATTTAAAAATAATAACCAGATGGTGAAAGTTGTTAAAGAGGCAGTCGGGAAGCTTTTTCCAGTGGAGAGTTCAACATTAAAGCCATGGAAGCAGCCTATATTTCACGTCAAATGTGGAGAGTCCATTAAAGGAGTACAAACTGGAAAAATAACTATGTTCACTGAGCTGTATGGAAGTGATAAGATATTGGACCATCTGTATTTCCTTACTTGCAAACATGTTGCCTCCGATCCAAAGACAGAAGTGTATATGCATTGCATGCAGTGCAAAACGCACGCATGTACATGTGAAAAATCTGCCCTTGGTGTGAATATGTACCCATTTGGTCCAGAAAAGAAAAATATATTTGGTGCGTACATCGATTTTACTTGTGGGTTAGTAGCGAAGACTATTGCACCAGAGTGTGACAGGAACCTGAGAAATAAATACCACAAACTTATTGAAATTTCTAGTGCATCTGATAGCACTGAAGATCACGTGGGACAAAAGATCCTAAAGTGGACTGATTCTACAGTAAAAATTGGTGAATATGACGGAGTTCAGTATTTGGAGGTGAGAGAAAACGATGGATTTCGACGTGTAGACATCATCAGATCAACCCAGATTTCTTTTGGTGGTCCAGGCGAGAGTGGATGTCTTCTGTACCTTTTGTCTGAGCGCACAGATGCTTCTGATATCATTACTCCAATGTTTGTTTACTGTGGTCAATGGGAGGAAAATAAGTATATGTGCTTTAGATTTCGAGAAGGACTTGACTGTTTGGCCAGCGAATATGTTTTGAATTTTCGCTTATGTTATGAAAATCCAAAAGATAGACCGTCCATGTACATTTCATCTCCACGAAAGAGAAAGAATAACACTCCATTGCGCAACACTTGATGTGTCCCATCAGCTAGAGTACGCCCGTTACTTTTAAATAAGAACTAAGGTACGCTAGCACTGCTTCAATCAGCACTTCAAAAACTGTATCTCATACACTTTTGGTTGCCTGTGACATTCATCCAAAAGAGGTCAGCTGATATATTTTGAATGGTACATGTAGCAGTAACTACTTTATTGGCAGCAAATTGTGTACAAGAAAGAATTTTCTCTTTTTTAGAATAGCTGGAATCGGGAAGAATAAATAAGCTCAGGGAAAGTAAAATCGAAAGAATTAATAAGAGTTCATACATGTGTAAAAGAAAAACTTCCTGAATTGACTATCATATTGTTACAGTGTACTTTGACAACACAAACAGGTGAGTAGCCAGAATGGAAGTGAAGTGTACGCAAAGAATATCATTTTTCCCTCGAGCTCATGTTTTGTATATTACTAATTCACATATAGTAATACATATTTTAAAGCAGTTCTGGCTTCAGATAAGCCCAAAATCTGTATGGGTTCCCTTGCATAAAAGGATCCCTTTGAAAAAAGTAAAATTAGCTAAAAACGATACCACTCAAGTAAAAAAATCATTGTACTTACAACCAGTTTAGTGTTTAAATAATTATGTGATGATTATGGTTAGTAAAATTCATATTCTGTCTACAACATGAGGGATAGATCTTTGATGTAAGTGTAATATTTTAGCTTTTATGACATAATTGTCTGGGGGGTTTCTTTTGACTTGTTGTTCAAGTTGCCTTAAATTGAGATGTGTTTAGAGTTTTGATTATTACATAAGAGTTGATAAAAATAGAACACATTAAAAAAACTTCTAGTTACATTAAGGCAAACATGCATTAAGGCACATACATGTAGGCTTTTGTTCTTTTAAGTAGTTCCATTTCAATGGCTTTAAAATGTGATGTTGAAAACTCTAGGAATATGAAAGGGTCAGCAAGCAATTAGTGATATTTTGTTTAGCCAAGCTGAGAAATTGTTACGTCAATATAATTTTAAATGCATTCGTCAAGTCAGAAATGTGTGTAATGACTGTAAAATCTTCTTTTGTCACATTTCAATTTTGATTTTTAATTTTGTATTTTAATTTTTCACATTTTAAACATTTTTTTTTTTTTTATCTCTGTGTGTTCTTATACACAAAACTGCTTTCTATCATAGAAAGTAATAGGAGTCTTGAGTACCATCTGCATGAAGACAAACATCAAACATAATGTTTTTTCTGTTAACTAAGGATGAAAATGTTCATTGAAAGCCTCTTTGCTTCCTACCTCATTTTGTAGTATTGTCATATCTTCCAAAGGCAATGTCTTCAAAACAAATTTCATGTCAAAAGAGTTGGAACCTAACATCGCCTTCCCCCGAAAAAGGATTTTCAATTTTTATTATTTTTTATCTTGTCAAAGATTTTTCAGGTAATTCGTCAATTATTTTCCAGTCCCCTTGAGAAAACAATACGCGACGTGCCTGCAAAAGTGGTTGAATCAACGTCCCAAAACAGACCACTGTTTGATGATTGATGGTGATCTCCTATTAACCCATGCAGCGTCACCTCATATAATATATAATACATGTATATATATATATATATAGGATCCCCCATGATTTGTGGTTAGATATGATTTTTATCCAACGAGTTGTGTTTTTTTTAACTCACAGCCTTGGCGAGGGGATAAAAAACACACAGCGAGTGGGATAAAAATGATATCCTACCACAAATCATGGAAGATTCTTTTTATCAAATGTTTTATACATTATGATCAATGTTTTACACTGTTTTTATAGATGAATCCACATTATTTTACTTCATCACTTTCACACAAAACTGACTGACGTCACAGCAGTGGGATATGGAAAAATGTCCAATGAGTGATATTCACAGTAGTGTAAAGGGGTAAACATGTGATAAAATATGAAGTAACATATCAGATAATTAAAATAATTCTCATATTTGTGGTTGTGATCCTTAAATTGCCTACTTCATGTAGTTGCAAAAGAGGGTGTTGCAGAAACTCGCGATTATTCCCTAAATCGAGAAGGACATTTAAATACCCACGACGCATGAATAGTTATCTCTAAATATAGATAATGCTACGTAGATGACTTTATTTAACGACAGGTATGTCCAGGTAAGTGCACCTCGCACATCATTTTGAGAGATGTACTGTAGACAGCGTGCGTTAATATTTTTCAGTATATAAAAATGTGTCCAATAATCACGCTGTTGATGCAATATCCAAGAAATTCCATGGAGTCATTTCAATTTAGTTGTTTCAAGTCAAATCAGAGTCACTAATTAACAGAAAAATAATGAAATGAAATGCGTATGAAAAAATTAAATAATTTAAAATGATAATACTTTATTTTTTTAAGACATCGCCACTAAATAACATTAAATATACATGTATGCCTTATTAGTTTTAGATCACAGTATCAAGGAAAACAATTTAATTCTGCATGCATTTAAAATATTACTCATTAACTTTCTGACATTCTCACCCTCTCTCTTTCTCTTTCAAGAGAGATGTTACATTGTACTTCCATTATATAAGAAAAAAAAAGTTATATATATATATATATATATATATATATATATATATATATATATATATATATATATATAAGTAGTAGATTACTCCAGGATAGCCGGGGCTATCCTGGAGTATAGGGGCCGTTATAGCCTGTAAAAAAATGGAAAAAATGTCAAAAATGCAAAATGGGCTGGCCGGGGCTATCCAGGCGTATAGGGGCCTGTATAGCCTGTAAAAAAAAAGTCAAAATAAGAAAGGCTATACAGGATACCGTATCAAAAAATCCAAAATGCGCTGGCCGGGTCAATTAAGTGCACTTTTTTTCTCACCCTTTTTCTTAAACAAAAAAATCCCAAAAAAATTTCAACAAAAACCTTTTATTATTGATCCTATCCAATACAATACAATACAATCCAATATAATACAATATGAAAACAAGATCAGAGAACCGTCCTATACACTAAAATCACATTTCTTTTTGTCACTCTCTCTGTTTTTTTTCCTTTTTATTTATCCTTACGAATCTCAGCCATCACTTCTTCTTTAAACACACCAATTTCTTTTGTTAGGATTTTTCTAAACTCAGAGTTATCCTTCTGAAGTTGTACCATTAAATCAGTTGATTTCTCTTGATCCTGAATCATTTGTCTTATTATACAGGCTATTTCCTTCTGGTTCTCTTTCAGAATTAGAATTATACCACATATATCCTCTAGGATTTTTTTTATCCCTTTTCTTTCCTGTAGTTCAATACCAGCCATTATTGTTGCCAAGTCAAACATATCATTCAGAGTCCTGGAATTTTCTTCTTCCATCTTAAGGTTTGGTTTAAAGTCCCTGACTAAAAAAATAAGACTGATCCTATATACTGTCAGGTCTGGTTTATATACCTTTCTAATCCATTCTATTTTTAGTCTCTACTATTTTTTTTAGTTTAATCTATTTTTAATCTCCACTAATTTTTATGTCTAAAACTATTTTTAGTTCTTTTGTAACTCTAATTATAACACCACGAGATCCTATTCTTAAAACACCTGTGCAGTAGTGTCGTGTGCAAAAAAAAAGTTCCTCCTACTTAAAATCTTGGCACCGATCCAAATCACAGCAACCTGGGCATTGTGACGTCATCTATTGTATAAAAACCGTCTTCTTTTGACTTTCAGCTCATTCTGTTGTTAAAAATAAACATGGATCGTTTCACACGACAACTTAAGAAATGGAAAAAAAGAGAGAAAGAATTAGATAAAATTCTTCATAACAATAGAGATAGAGAATTAGATCTTAGAAAACGAAATGCCTTGTACTTACAAAGAATACAGAAAACCAATCGTCATCAACAAGTACAAGCTTTACGTCATGTAAATAAAGAAGAAGAAGATCAACCAAGTTCTTCATCTCATTTATCACCACCTCATTCACCACCAGGGAAACCGAAACCCATTTCTCAGTATTATAAAGTGAGATTAGATTCCACCAGACATTCCAGAAAATTTAAAGCCAAAGAAAATAAATACAATATCAATTTTGAGGAATTTCCAGAAGAAGAAAACAAAGGATTTGTTCGGCGATTATTTAGAGACATGTTAAAAACGGTCAAATATGAAATGCAGTGTCATCCTAACGATTACTTACGTTTGAACATACGTCATCCTTCTCTGAAATCTGAAATCTGGTACGAGTTTACCCAATGTAAACATTTGAACGAGGAGGTCATTTTAAACAAAATAGAAGCCGTTCAACAATCTAAAAAAGATTTTAAACTGGGAGACGGGTCTATGGAATTCGACATGTTTCATGTGAAATATCCTCAAGGAAGTGGTGGAAATAATACCAAACACCTGATGATCAATAAGGACACTTTCCTTAAAGGAAAAAAATCTATCGTTCAGATCGACAATCCCTGGGATAAGATGTGTTTAGCTAGAGCTATTGTCATCACCCGGTTACACAGTGAAAAACCAGAAAATCCAGAGAGTTTAGCTGAATGGGAAAAAAGATGGAAACGTATGCGGTTAGGAGATGTAAGGAGTAATGATCAGAAAAATCAAGCTAAAGCTCTCATGGAACAAGCCGGGTGTGATATTCATCAATCTTGTGGACCCGAAGAATGGGGGAAATTACAACAAGTGTTATATCCTCAATATCGACTGAAAATATTTCAGATCAAGTCTATGTCTTCTAAATTCTCCTTAGAACCTATCTACAAAGGAAATGGAGAAGGAATTTCTTTAAACATTTTGTTAGAAGATCATCATTACCATGCCATTTTATCCATGCCTGGTATCACAGGATGTCAATATTATTGTGATCATTGTGATGTAGGGTACAGAAACATCACAGACCATCGATCCAAATGTCCTTTTCGATGTGATTTTTGTTTATCTTACCCTCCATGCCCTAAAGACGGGAGCCAGATTTCATGTCCTCATTGCCAGGGATTTTTTAAGAATAGAGGTTGTTATGAAAATCATTTACGACCTTACAGTAAAAATACGACAACAACCATCTGTAATTTAATGGGACGATGTGACCAATGTCAGAAATGGATGCCTAA